CTACAAATGACGTCATATGATGAATTGGTCTTTCAAAAACCATTAAAGAGTTTTTCAGTGTTTAATTTCGTCGAAAAAAAAAGGTAATCAAGTGATCTTCTATGTAGTTAAGTTAATAACAAAACTTTGAGGCTTAAGAGGGACCTAATTCCTCGGATTTCTCCGAGGTTTCCAGCTTAAAGTGTAACCGACCGCATAGATTTCCTCTCTGGTGATAGGTAAATCAATAGAATGTTCAATCCGTATTGGTTTGTAATTGACTATAAGAGTGATCGGTAAACAAAAACATAAAAGCGTAACTCTTACCTCCTCCGTTCTTAAAGCACAGATATGGAAATCGCCATATATTAGCCAAATCTACCGCAAATCCAATAACTGATAACAAAAAGTCCACCTGTAAATCGAATCAATCAATTATTGATTGCACAATACAATTCATTAGCATACGGTTTCTGTCTGAGTTATTATTATGACTCATAAAAAACATTGTGATTTTTCCCTCACTGTCGCTAGAAATGCTAATTCATTTATGCCATGAGTTATATGGAACGTGTTAGATTTCCAGCTTAAAAACTCTATAAGAAATATAATTTTGCTATTTGAATGGTAGCAGAAAGTAAGGAGGACAATTTTTTAGAGTGACTCAATTGATTTTTCATCAAGTTTAATACGACTCAAAGTTAATCACAAAACCGGACGTTTACAAGTCGCGAGTTCGAGTCCGGTCTGAGGCTTCAAGTTTTGTGATTGACTCCGCATTGTAGAGATTTGATTGTAGTGAAAATATAGACGATTTTACCACAAGATCGGACGTTTACAAGTCGCGGGTTCGAGTCCCGTCTGAGGCTCTAAGTTTTGCAAAGTAGAGATTTGATCGTAATGAAAATATAAACGATTTCACCCGTTTCAGATTGCATCCAGTAGAAAAAAAAGTGTTCATCGTGTTTATCGATTAAATCGATTGTTTTTTTTTCTGCAGTATTTAAATCTCCTCTCTCCAAGCATTCTTTATAAAGATAGATTATAATATTAAATTAAGCTTAATATTTATCAACAAAATGCTCATCGGATAAAATGAACAGTCGACGTACCTTTGAGGACCACGTTTCTCTTTCGCTTTCTTTGAGGATCGGTTCTACTTGGAGTACGGTATTACTGGTCAGTCCATTTGAATGCATATCGTCTTCTAGGTCGTCTGAATGAGTTAGAAAATGTAACTTAAACGGTCACTCAATATGTATCCTTTGTAAATGAATTCCATTCGTTAATTACCACCACCAATGACCCATGCTGTTCAGCTATTCTATTTGATCTTTTACCGTAATCCTTCGTCAACGATAGAAAACACGAGAAAAAAATAACAAATTTATCCGCTTAATAATTTAAATATAAAATGAGATAGGATAAAATCATTGTCACTCGGAAACCCGCTGGTAATAAAAATTTTACTAATAAAATTCAATTGAAAGAAAACCTGTTCCGAGAAGAAATAAGAAACTTTTCAATGAATTTTTCACTGAGGTAGAAAAAACGATTCAGAGCAAAATATAACCTGCGAGGCTGCGACAAATTTTGAGTGACAAAAAACTTCCAGACGCTTAGCTTACAAGCTTTAATAGAATTTTTGTAAAGAGAAATCTTGAATATCTTAAAATTTCATTGTAATGAATGAATACGACAGGTAAGAAAAATTTGAGGTTTGAGATATTTCCCTTAACAGAGTCATTTCTAGACGAAACTTTATCGTAACAAAAGATCAAAAACTTCTTTCGTATTCTAATCAGCCCAACGAAAAAAATCCTTTCTCAACTTTACTTTGGCGGCTCTTTCTCGTTGAGGAATCTCGAGCCGGTTAGTTGAGAGGCTACGTGGTGTGACCACAGGATACTGATAGAGGATAAACCGCAAACCAAAGCAACCGTGTATTTACCTTGAGACGCAGGTTCATTCAGGATTCAGAGGTAACAGAATTGTTCTAGCCTCCGCAAAACGACTCCACAAGCTAGCCATAAAAGCGATCGCGAAAAACAGTTTGAAAAATGGACTTCATTTTTCTGCAAGCCCCGAAAAAGCCTCCGGTAGAGCAGAGTCGTCTAGGACGAGTACCAAGACGAAATCAAACTAAGCTGCATAAACGTAAAAGGCCCCTATAACATATGCTAAGGAAATCAGGTACGAAAAAAATCGGGTCCTTGGACTGGCCGAGAAGACACCACCCACTAAAGGTTGCTTACGACACTGGAGAAGAGCTGTTTCTTGGAATATGCGATAACAGTGGTGTCGGTGGCGTAGGTGTACTCGTCAACTGAAGCTTGATCGTGAACATCGATCCGTTTGAACAACCGACGAACCGAATCAAATGTTTAAAATTAAAAAGACGTGGTCCAACACCGGCTTTGACAATCTTCACCGTCTACGCTCCTAGCTCAAATTACGATAAAGATGGAATCAAAGCATTCTATATGGACTTGAAGAAGATCTTAAGAGGAAGCCGCACATTCTACAAAGTTATTGTTGGCGATTTTATTGCTGAAACTTGGCCGTAGAAGAACGCCTGAAGAACGTCACAGGAAGCCCGCTGAGTGCAATGAACGGGGAGAGTGCCTATTAGAGTTTATCGTGATGAACAGGAGGATGATCAAGGGTAACAGACAGAAGTCTTTGTTCCAGCAATGGACGTGCGAGTCTTCTTGTCAACAAAGAAACATGACCATAGAATATGATTGAGCACCACCACGGAACCCATGAAATGCCGAGAGTTTGAAAATCCTAGAAGCTTGTCTTTGAATTTCCCTGGGCTCATACGCCCACATGAAGCTGCTAAAGCCGCAAGCAGTTACTAATAGTGTCCGAATTAGCGAAACGTTACAGAGAAGCGATAACAACGTTCTAAAAGAGGAAAATAACTCGTTGGACTATCCTAGCGCGGTATGAAGAAATGGAAGTTTTACTGGCCGCGCTTGTCTCTGTCGATGATCAACGAAGATCCAGGTGATCCACTTGAGCTTTAACCTACTCAGATGTAACAAATATCAAGTAAATAAAATGAATGGATTAATAAAAAGTAAAATTTTTTAGGTTGAAAAAAATTTTGATTTTGAATATTTCACAAGGGAAAACAAAAAATATTGATTTATAACCGGAATTTTTATATCTCTATTGTATTAATATCGTTAATCCCTTTAAAATATGAAAATTTTTTATTACTATTCATTAAAATGGGATTATGAACAGCTCAGAAAAGAAAACAATGATCCCTCAAAAAAACGAGGGCAATCTGCTTAACAGGTTTTTTCATAGGAGATGATTTGTCCAGTTCGGATTAATCCAGAACACTATTGAGGATGTTTATCTCAATATTTATTGAATAAATATGATTGCCTCGAAACATTGATGACATACCTCTTTAACATAACCATTCCAAGTTACTTCTAGAAATAGGGTTGAGGATTTGAGGCGAAATCGATAATTTCATAATGTTAAAAAAAAAACGAGTTCGGATTATTTTCAAATCAGATCAGATAAGAGTTAAAACTATGAAGAGGCGAAAATCATTAGAGGATCAAAATTTTATTAATGCTTGTTTTGTTTGTTTTTATTGCTATTTTATTGTAATCTAAAATGCCGTACTCGACAATGATATTAGAGCGATATTGATTTATGCAAATTTATAACAATTTCCTTAATTCGTTACATACATTGAGGACTTATTGAGGATCAAATGACGTCATCAATAATAGTGTCGATAAGAAACGGCAATGCCATTGTATATCCGTTAAGAAAAGCAAATACTACGAATCTAAAAAACCTCAAGGATCGTCGACAATAACAGCTTAACCTAATATTGATCCATTTCAACTCATAACTCATTAGTTACCGTAATCTCGAAAATTATTTCATTTTTGCTTTATGCAAATGAACCAAGGGATAACATTTAAATGGAACGTTGATTTCGATTATCACTATTGCTCAGTCGATTGTTTTCTTAAGTTTGAAAATTGAATATCAGCTTAATAGCTCTATGAGGCACAAAATGAACAAGAGCAGATTTTGAGTTTCCAATATCAGGAGGAGAATACTCCCTCACTAAAACTCAGTGACACTTTGGCACTTTGTATTCGTCATATATTCGTTCCACTAATACTTTATGCTCTTTTGTTTACAGTTTGGTTCAAAGATGAAAAGAAACTAGTTTCATTAAAGAGAAAAATAAAAGACCTCATTGTGGTACTTTATTGTGAGGTACTGTTTAAAATGAGGGTATTGAATAAAGCATAAAAGCTCAATTGAATACTCATTGACATGCTTCAGTTAATTATTAAGGATATTTTAACCAGCTATAAAATTAAGGTAAGATGAAGTTTTTTCTCATATTTTCTAAGCATTAGTATATTATACTGAGGATCAAGCTTTATTTAATGAGGAAAATGATGACGTCACTGATTTTCATTTTCTATAGATAACGAGAATAAGTAAGGGAAGGACATCTATCGGATCCGAAGAATTTTTCATTCTTACAAATTGGACAACAAAAACTTTTAACAGAAGTACATTAATAATAATTGATTTGTTTATTTTTGTTTATTAGGGATTTTAAAAGTTTTTTTTTCTGGCCTTAAGGCTATTCTTCTCTTATAGGTAATTTTAGTCGATTTTTTTAGCTTAACATTAATCAATCAATAAGGCTGAATAATTTTGAAGACTAATGACTACTGTAAGAGTTACAGCCTTCTATTTAGAATCGATATTGAACAATAAACATAACAATCCTCCGATTTGTCCTCAAAAATACTCTCGTATGACCTCAGCGACTCTCAGTAAACGTTTTGTACTGGTTCATTTCTATGGGCTATTTAGAAATCTGGAAGTTTTTTTCCCTATCCACTCAGCTTCGATGATAAAAAACTAACAAGTTGGGTGTTAAAGCAGTTTACCTCTTTCTTCTTATCCTCTTCCTCTTCCTCTTAAATTGTAAGAAAAATTTTAATGCTACGAGAAAAAAACCAGTATTGTTGCGGTATCATTGCAGTCTCTAAAGCTGTAGACCCTGGTTCGACACCCGGTTGGTGCAATCGTGAAAACGAATCACGTCTTTCCTCTTATTGTAAATCAATGGGAAAATTTAAATGGTACAATTAGAAAAATAATAATAAAAAATCATTATATTAAAAACGTTTCTTCATACTGGCTCTGACTTTGTTTTCTATTGTACGCTCGTTTTCGTTTTCGATTTTCGTTACAAATCGATATTTTAATTTGGAAAAAATCGATAAGTATCAATTTCACATTGAACAGAAATGTCATATGAGTTAACGACCTCATTTTTAAACCATACTATGATCATTTTTTATGCTAATGTTAATGTTATGCTTTGTAATACAGTCGGTTAATGCACATGCATTTATGGAAGGAGTACATATGAGCTTATTTCCACTGAGTCTTAGATCATCTACCTCCTTGAGGATTAGAATAAGCAGTTCATATGGGCCACGTATTCGTCTTCTATGTAATATCGTGAGGATGAATGAATCTGATCGATCTGTTTACTGCCTTCAGGCGATCAGACTATATCAAATCAATACGGTTCTTCTTTCCATTTAGTTGTGGTATCAACCAATCGATATTGGAATTGAGGAAAGTTTCAGTTTGTTCTAGAACAGAATCCAATATGATGAAAGAATCGATGAGGGCTTATCGATCAATGAGTTCTACGAGAAGTTCTTCTACGACTGAAAGAAACTTTCTTTTGTTTATTCATTGTTATTTATTGATCTATGAAAAAAAACAACTGTAAACAAATCTGTTTGTTTCTGTTCAGTTTGAAATAAAAGAAAACCGTCTACGACGTCAAAACACATAGCGATTTGTTTTTGTTTTTGTTTTTGTTTTTACTGCTACAAACAAATATAACAGTAATTTTTCTGCGTAATACAAAACAGTTTCAGAGGAGCTTAAGAAAAAACATTTTACAAATAAATAAAATAATAAATGAATACAAAT